GAGGGCCGTCGGAAGGACTAATGGGGGAGTTGCAGTCCAGGGGAGGGGAGGGGAGGGGAGGGGAGGGCAGGAGAAAAACGAGGGGAGAGTTGCTGTATGGAGGCCCTGCAGATGAGAGTGATCAGTGTAGCGGATCTAGAAAATTCTTCATTTTCTTCAAGTTCTTTGCATGCCATTTTCACCTTTAATTGTTCCCTGACTAGTTTGGGTCTGGTGCCTTGCTTGTTCATGTTGATGTTCTCTGGCGATGGGTGTGCATTATCCGCTGCAATCATTACACAGGCAGCACCTGAGGCAGAAGACAATGGAGTTGACATGCCTGATTCCGTGCAGTTGACAGCAGACATGCGAAGCCTTTCTGCGGGATCGGGCCCCACTCTGCTAAACCAAGAGAGTGTTCCCAGCATGCAAGAGGTGGAGGGGGACGCCAACCTGGATGCTACAGGCTCACAGCTTATGCATGCTCGAAACCAGGTCGACAGAGGATTCTCAGAGCCCAGCAGCTTTCAGGAGGATGGTGATTCGGGTTGGATTTCCCTTTCAGAGAGTTCTGGACACAGCGGTGATGAGGAGGGACTGTTGTGTACACCACTGAGAGTTGATAATCATGAGCAGTTTGCAATGACAGGTTCATTTTTGAGCGCGTCACAATCACCAAATGGGGACCAGCACCGTAGATCACGAGAGTTGGCAGTTGTTGCCGTGGACGGCATCGGCCAGGAGAGTGGTAATCCTAATGCTTGGGATAGCAGCAGAACTCCAGGGAGGGAGGAGAGGGTTCCGTTGGGAAACGGCCAAGCGGCATCTTGGAGACTATGCAACCGCGGGGAAGGAGCGACCACACCAGGACCATCATCTACGCCAATCGGGACTTCAAGTGGTGCACACAGGCGCTTGTTCTTCACTCCATCAATATCCCAAGGCGCTGGACCTCCCACGATTGTAAGGGCTTCATCTCAAGGCTTTAGACCTCCCTCTCCATAATCGTGCCCATAGCCAGATGGGCCTTCTCTCGCTCCCCCCGCCGCCCCTAGGACACTGGATTTCTGTTTCTAGAAAAAGCTGAAATGAACCCAACTCCAAGAAGTTCATACCGCCAATTTCGTGCATGGAACCAAGAATGCTCAATGAGCACGGAACCGAGAATGCGCAATGAATGTCGATCGCAAAGCGGCCAAGGGGTAGCAAAGTTTACCAGAGTCAACACAGTGGAAGAGAAATAGTAGGAGGACTAAGGAGGTGGATAAACTAAAAGTCAATTGATACGATGTGTTGCCTCTCCTTCCGCCTTTGACGTCTAGGCACTCCTCTGTAATATCGTCACACCAGCTTAATCGTCATCCTAGCCCTCTACCAATGATGAAGCCAGCGCCTCCCTTCCCAACACCTCCCAATATGCAATGTCACACTCCCCAATGCAGTATAACTCAGTCCCAATGAAGAATAACACCCCCGGCAATGCAAGGCCAGCCTTTGGAAGCAACAGCACTGTTCCGCTTCTCATGGTGGCACATGAACAGGCGAAGTCCAGGCAAGCCTCTCTCCTCTGTCACCACAGGATGTGGTCTCTCCTTCAAAACCTCACTCTCACCCTCTCTCAAGCCTCACTCTGTCACGATAAGCTACAGTGCCATTGCACCTCCTGCTCTGGCTTTGGCTGCTGTCACTTTCACTCTGTGTGCGGCGCTACCGTCTTCCCCCGAACATAACGCATATGCATTGTATTTGAGTTTTCAAAAACAATGGAAAATTTGAATAGAACGCACATGCTTTTTATTCGAATAGCAGGGCTGTTCGAATACAACAGGTATGTGTTGTATTCGAATAGAAAGCAACCTGTGCATTGTATTCGTTTACAACGCATATGCGTTCGGTTGGGGGGAAGGCACTAGTCCTAGGCAGCATTTCAGCCTCCAGCAAGTGCAGTGCAGAATGAATGAACGAGCTGGGACAGGCCAGTTTCCATAGTGCTGACTTGGTCTTCTCTGGCTCAGGGCGCCTCCTCGGATGGCTGATATTTCTTTCTCAATCTGTGCGGCCCCGATTTTGTCACGGCCAGTATGTGCCTTGATCCAGTAGGCCCTGAAAGCTTCTGGAAACGGTGTCTTTGTCTTCCGATTGTCTGTGACCTGTGGCCGCCGTGGAGTCCTGGAGAAAAATCTTTGACTGTTTGACTTCTGTGCCTGGGTAGGGCCTGAACGTTGACTTTCCTAGGGTCTACTTTGACCTCTAGAGGCCCCCTGGGCACCTCAATTTGACCACTGACCCCAGGTCGAACAAGGTAAGGACTTTTCCCTACCAGTTACAAGGCCCAAAGACAGGCTTTTGCTCTTAGCACCCTTACAATTTGGCCCCACCCTGAGTCTACGACCCATAGACTTGCCGCAATGTTAGCTTTTAAGTTTTAACCGCATTTCCTCGCAAAGCTTTCACCTCTTCTTTACCCCAGCACGTTGCGACTCTCATCCATTTCTCAGTTTGCACACAACGCGTACAAATGGTATACGTTTTTTTTTTTTTTTTTTTTTTTTTTTTCCCTTCTGTTGGATGCTTGCTGTAATGCTGACCAGTTCCTTGAGATCTTCCGTTCATAGCATCCACAATTCTTTTGATGTAATAATATTTCCTTATCTGGAAAACCCATAATACCACCATATGATCTTCTCTGTCCATGCTATTGCAATGAACCTCGCAAAATCCAACTCAAAATACAACATGCAGTCTGAGAGCATTTAGATAGAGCCCACACAAGCTTGAGCTATGGCCATGAACAGTGCCCATTTGAAGTTCCACTCAAAAACAATAATATACAATTGAAAAAGTTCGGGACTTAGCAGTCTGAACCGCTGCAACTCAACTCCAGTAAGTGCCCGACTCTCCCCCTCTCCGATCTGCTTCTTTCCTCTCTCTCTCTCTCTCTCTCTCTCTCTCTCTCTCTCTCTCTCTCTCTCTCT